CACATGTGTTTATCGGCCAGGTTGGCACCATAAATCTTAATGATCTCAATGGCGCTGGCAAAGAATCCTGAAAATACCGTGTACCGCCAGGAGAGCCAACAAAGCTGTCTTGGAAGACGTACAGCCAGAATGCTCCTTGGAAGGGAGGCTGTGTCTCGCATACTGTGGACGTGTTGTTAGGAGAGACCAGTCTCTGGAGAGGAACATCATGCTTGGGCAAGTAGAGCGGCAGCAGAAAAGAGGGAGATGCTGACAAGATGGATTGACACCGTGGCTGGCATACGGGGCTCCCACGAGTGACTGTGAGGATGCTCAGGACCGGGCAGTGGTTGGATCTGCTGCACCTCAGCTTGGAACCGGCTTAGGCACCAACAGCAGCAGCAGGGTTACTCCAGGCTTTCCACCCACCGTCTCCAGGGAGACCCACACTGGAACAGCTCTGACCTGTGGACCAGCCTGCCTGCAGCCTCCTGGCTTCAGCCTCCTCAGGGTCTCCCCTCCCCTCCTGTTGCCACCCGGGAAGTTTCGAACCCACTCTTTGGGGCTGCTTGTGTCCTGGGGTCTTGGAGTCCTCTCTCGCGGGAGGCCATTCTCGCTCTTGCTGGTGGCTCTTCAGTCACTTGGTAGCCTTCCTCTCGTAGGGATGGACTTGTCAGTGCGTGCTCACAGCCACCCTCGAAGCTGCTATCATCATCGCGCCCCCCACCCCAGCCCCCAATACTTGGCAGGCAAGTCTGCCGCCAGCGGATTTGCTCTGGGGTCCATCCTTGGCTCTGCTGCTGGCTGAGCAGTGACCTTGGGTTGACCTGGGGAAGCAGCTTGCCTTGCACCCCCCTCCTAATCCCAAGCTGGTGTTCCCATCTGTCACCCGGCTACTAGCTCTTCCCTGCATTGAGATGCGGACACCTAGTAGGTGCTCGGTAACTTCATGGGATCATCCACAGATCCCTCCACTAGACCCCCGGGGCCGGCTTTACCATCAGCTGTCTGGAGCCTCTAAGAATTACTTAATAAAGGACCGAGTGAGGGGGAGGGCGGCCTTTCAAAGCTGCTCAGAGCTGCAGCCATTGTTCGGCCCGCTCTGTGCGGGGCCTGCTGGTATTTTTACTCTGTTCCCTGGGCTCCCAGACACTGCCGTGACAAGCAGCCCGCCCCCATGTTTATTTCCAGCAGCTCGGGCTGAGGTGGCGCCTGCAGGGAGAGGTGACCCAAGGCCGCTCAGGGGCGGGGGTGGGGGGAGAGTGGCAGTGGGCAGCCGGAGGTCCAGGCAGGCGCACACAAGGGGGTGGTGACTGGGCAGGGGGAATGTCATGTGTTCCCCTGCTCCCCATCCCCTCGCCGCAGCTACTGGTGTCAGGAGGGTGAGGCACCCCAGGTTCCATCCCCAGCATCCACCTGTGTATCTATAGACTGGGCGGGTTAGCGCTGCTGGTCATAGAGGAGGCTGTGATGTCCACGGCCATCAGTGCTCCCTGCTGCCTAGTTCTTGAGGGAGCTAATGCTTGTGTGTGTGTGTGTGTGTGTGTGTATGTGTGTATCAGCAGGCCTCTGGCAGGGACGGGCTTGGGAAGTTGGCAGCTAAGGGGTGACCGCCAGGCAGCCTGTGAGTCACACAGTGGTCAGCGGGACTGAATTGGGGGAGGGCAACAGCGAAACGACCTGTCACAACGAGGGGAGACTGCGGGGCAGCAGGGGCTCAGGTTCCTTGCTCACTTGTTTGAGCCTCAAGGAGGAGCTGGGAAACTGAGGCTCAGAGAGGCCCCGTGGTGGGGACCTGGCAGCTTGAAGAGGAGATTCCAGGAACCCAGTGGGACACAGGGCGGAGACCCAGGTCAGAGACCCGGTTCCTGGGAGCCATTTCTCCTCCAGGCTGCCCAGCATCCTCAGCCCAGCCTGGGATTAGAGGGTGGCCTTGGGTGCCCTTCCCTGGCTCAGGTCACAGTACTGGCCAACTTGTAGTGGAAGGTCTGCTGACCAGGCAGCAGGGCAGGGGTGCCTTGCTCCCTGTGCTCCCAGGGGGATACTGTCAGGGGCTCCAAGTTGGGGAGTGGGTTGTTTCTCCCGAGAAGAGGCGGATGTTCCAGCTCTATGGGGTCCAGAGGAGAGGGAGGCATTAATACAGGTTCGGGTCCAGGAGGGCTTCCTAGAGCCGGTGGCACTGGTGATGGTGAGAAGCAACTTTGTCAGTAACGTGGAGAGGAGGGTGGGCCCAGGGCCCAGGAGCATCAGCAGCTCCCCAGAGGGCCCTAAGCCCTTGGGACGAGATCCACAGGGGCAGGACAGACAGACAGACAGAGAAAAACGACAGAAAAAAAAAAAGGGTCCAGGTGCTGGCTTTGCCCTCAGGGAAGTGGGGAG